GGGGCCGGCGAGAGGGCGCAACGCGGCTCCCTGCCCCGGAGGCGTCGGGCCCTTCACACTGCCTCTTTCTCCAGCGCTCGCTCTTTATTTGACGATGAAATAATGTTGACATGTCTTGAATTATTAAGTATTCCCTGGATTTTATTAGCACATGATGCCTAAATGCTGCCTGTATCTGCTGGGGTCTTAACCAGAGAGGAGCGAAGGAGAGAGGCAGACACAGAGCGAGAGAAGAGAGAGAGGGGTTTTTGACAGCTGTATTTGTGCTGATAAGCGAAGGCACAAGGAGACGATCGACTAGTGAGACAAGAGGGAAGCGGCGGCTCAGAGCTGCTGAGAGGGGCTGCACTTCCCTCCCGAGACGGCTCGGCCCTCCCGGCGCCGCGCTGGGGCTTGGGGGGGACCCGAGCCCCCTCCCAGCGCCTGGCCGGGGTCTCGGTCGGTGCCCGTGCCCGGGGGCAGCTCACTGGCCAGGCACGCCAGCCACGCTGGGCAGATGGCGATTGAGTTCGTGTGTAAAATCAAATTTGCCGAGGGGGATGAGAAGCAAAAGGAGAAAGAAGAAGGGGATAAGGAGAGCCTGATTGAGGAGCCCGCGCGGCCCCGGTCCCGGGACCTGGCTGCCTTCGCCAGCGCCAGCACACTGCACGGCCTTGGACACATCTGCCGGTCAGGGCGGCTGGGCGTGCGTCAGACCCTCTGGGCGTTTGCCTTCCTGGCCTCGCTCGCCTTCTTCCTCTACCAGGCGGCCAAGTCGGCGCTGCTCTACCTGGAGCACCCCCATGTCATGGCCTTGGACGAGGAGGCCATCCGCGAGATGGTCTTCCCCGCCATCACTATCTGCAACATCAACCGCTACCGCCACTCAGCACTCACCGATGCCGACATCTTCCACTTGGCCAACATGACTGGGCTGCCCCCCAAGGACCGGGATGGCCACAAGGCCACGGACCTGCTCTACCCAGACCCCGACATGGCTGACATCGTCAACCGCACCGGCCACCAGCTCGATGACATGCTCAAGAGCTGCAACTTCAGCGGCGAGAACTGCTCCTCCCGTGACTTCGCTGTGGTGAGTGCACACCTGGCTCAGCCCGCTTCCCCCAGGCCCCTGCTGGCTCTGGGGGCACTGACCCGGCCGTGCCTTGCCGGAGCAGGGCTCCCCGGCTCGCTCCTGCTACTGAAGTTTGCATCTCTCTGTGTTTGAGTTTCCCTCCAAGTTTCGCATGGAGAGAGTGAGACTCCTCCACGGGAGCTCTCTGTAGGTCTCTGTGCCGCAGGACCCGGCTGCCCACACGTCCTCCATGGAGAGGCTTGCAGGCAGGTGCTGGGGCATGTGGGTGAGCGGGACTCAGAGCTCCCCAGGGTGGGTGTGCGGTGGGAAGGGGGAAAGCTGTGCTACGCAGCGCTGCTCTAGCCAGCTTCTTCACTGTGGGTCGAACTGCGCTGTTTCAGGATGTTTTGCACGGCGGGAGTGGAGTGGGGGAGCATAGACTGCTTTGTGCGTAGGGGAGCCCGCTGCTTTTAGAGGGCTGGCAGTGGGATGCGTGTGTATCCCGGAGACTGTCAGCATTGCGCACACGCATGTGTGCAAATGCACACACTGAGCGCCCTGAGCAGGTCTGCTCTGGAGGCATGGCTGTGGCCAGGCGACCCACGGCTGCCCCGAGCCAGCCCGCCTG